CCCCTACGTTACGGCCGAGCCTGTAGTTACCACGACCAAGATTCAACCAGAGAAGGGCGATTTCGTGGTCATGGCTACCGACGGCCTCTGGGAGATGCTGACCAATGAGGAGGTCGTAGGGCTGGTAGGAAAGTGGATTGAAACCCAGGCCAGGGAGAAATCCAACTCTCAATTCGACTCGGTTTGGTCCAAGATATTTGGTGCTCCTCAGGGTCTGCCCGTAGAAGCCAACAAGGTTGCCCAGGAGGGTGGTCAAAAGACTCCGATCCGCCAGCAACAATGGGGTCTCTCGCCAGATGAGAAGGAGAGATTCGTGGTGAAGGATCTGAATGTTGCCACACACCTTGTCCGCAATGCGCTTGGCGGAAAGAACGAGGAACAAGTCTGTGCTCTGCTCACCCTTGTCTCGCCATTCTCGAGGCGATACAGGTAAGTTTTTATCAGCCGATGTACCCTTCAACCCGGAACCAAGCTAACCATATCGGAAACCAGGGATGATTTGACCGTCCAAGTTATATTCTTCGGCGACGGACAGAACACGGGTGAAGTCCTGGTGAATCAAGATGCCACCACTCCCCCAAGATCTGCCCTTAAGGCGAAGCTATAGAGATGTAATTTCTCGCCTCAACGGACTCATATCAGATTCATGCAGACTTGCATTTAATCACAACTATGACAATATGAGGACTCACTGTGGGAGCAGATCTATTGAAACCTCAACTCGGCCATGGCGAATGATCCTGTATTTATAGAATCTCGCAGATCGACGTAGGGGCCATTTTCTTCCCGTCTACCAATAGTGATGCTAGACAGCATCTGCTTCTGCATCCAACACGAACTCATAGAGCTCTAGCTCTGTTGGAAAAAGAAAGGAAACAAACAAACAACAAACAGAAAACATAGAAAGACTACCAGGGCTCTTCTGACGAGTCGTCTACCGCAGCCACGCGTCTCGCCATTCTCCCACCAACCACTTCCCCTCGTCTCCTTATACGGAGATCCTTTTCCATATGACCTTTTATACCCCATCGGGCATCTCAAATTTGGACTTCGGCATCAGGGGCCGCACGTGTATGTACAACCGAAAGCTTAGTTTAGTTTAGTTTTTCACCGAATTTTTGGGCAGCATATGAAAGAAATATATTATCCCCCTCCTAATCGTAATGTGCCAGTCATTCGTCCTAGAACGTACCGGGGTTTTAATTTCATTTTATCGGAGACCATTTGACTCCCGCCCTGCAATCCATATTGAGGAACTTTCAACAACAAAATATCAAAACACCAAAACAAGGGATACATTGCAAACTAGGTATGCTCAGGAGGGAAAGCGAACTAGAAACAAATCATCTAGCTGAATCAAGTCTAACACCAACACCTCACGTTATCTCCATTAACTGACTAACAGCAATCATGCTATGAAACCCCGCCGTCTTTGCAGTACTTTCCTTCCCCCAAAAGCCTCTCGCCATTTCTTCCCAATGGAATGTTTCTTCTGGTACCAGGTTTTCGTCCTGTTCCTACATCTGTTCACGTTTCGACTTTGCTCCCCTAAACCCCTCATAGGCTCACCCTTTTTTGTCACTAGTGATAAAAGAACTGTTGTTCAGATGTCGCTTTGTGTTTTAAACCTGGCCTTCTTTTGCCTGAATAAATCTCCACCATCCTCACATGGCCTTAGTGGACCGAGGCTTCAATAGGCGTACGTATGCTCGACTAGTATCGGTAGCCGCCGCCGCCTCCGTACTGGCCACCTCCGCCATACGGGGGAGCTCCATATGGAGGATAACCACCTTGAGGCGGTCCGTATCCGGGGCCAGGATAGCCTTGTGGGGGGGCCGGAGGCGGGGGGCCTTCACCCCATTGGCCGGGAGGCGGTCCGTAACCGGGTGGCGGAGGTCCACCATACTGATGCTGGTGCTGGTGCTGATGCTGATGCTCGTGTTGGTGATGTGACTGGTGGTGTTGCGGTGGAGGACCGCCACCGCCATACCCTTGAGCTTCGGATCCTTGCCCATAGCGATCGCCTTGCCCGTACGGCTGTGGAGTCCTACCGCCATAGCCTTGTCCTTGGCCCTGCTCGTATGGCTGTGGTGTTCGGCCGCTATAACCACTGGGTGACTGGGCCTGGGGCCTCAAGTAGCTATCTGCTTCACCGCCAGTGGGCTGAGAGCTGTATCCGAAAGTTGTGCCCTCGGGCGGTCGGTTTGGTGAGTGTGCCGGCTGTGGTGAGCTGGCTCCCATGTAGCCTGCACCACTAGAACTCGCGCCCATGGCGTCAAGGTCACGCGTAGCCACTTGTGACCAAAGGCTGCCGGTAGGCTTGCCGTGGCCCAACTGGCCCATGAGGTCGCCTACGCCGTGGTCAAAGATTCCGCCTCCATGGGAGTGGCCCTTGGACTTTTGTCCTGAGAGGATGTGGTTCTTGCCGTTTTTAACGCTCTCTGAGCCGAGTAAGTTGTTGATCTCGTGGCGACGAGGATACTCATCTGCCCACTTGCGAACAGTATTGAACATGTCGCGCTGTATCTCAATACGTTCGTCACGAATCGCGGGATGGTGGAATGCTCGGAGAACATCGTTGCAGATTTCATCAACGGGGACACCGGTATTGTCCCAGGCATAAAGGACGCGTCTAACCGAATGTGTAAGCGCAACTGTTTTAAATCTTTGGATTCTTGAAGATGGAATAACTTACGGAACCACATATTGCAAGATAGTGGCGCCAACTCTACCCGCGCAAGAGTTGAGGATGTTCGTAAAGTGATCCTTGCTGAGCATGGAGTGGGTTGGATCGGAGCAACGAGGGTTGTTCCAAGGTTCGAGTTGTGCCTGTGCACTGGCGCTGATGACTCCAGAAGAGCCATCTTTAAGGATCTTCGACACTTGGTCGATGATGGGTCGAATAAAGGGAGCAAGAAGACCCAGGACAAAAGCTGTCAGTGTTTCGCTGATGTGCTCTATCAGGCTCTCTAGACCCGGGATTTTAGCGATACCCCTGTTTATGGACTTGACAATCTTGTCTCTGAACTCCAAAATTGGATAGATTCTGGCGGCCGTCTTGACCGGATCGAAGTCCGGACTCATTCCGGGGACGATGTTCACGTTGGGTCCCGCGCGTGTTGGGTCACCTCGGGAACGGACGGTATCGTTCTCCCTCTCCTGCTCATTAGCCATCTGCTGAAGGCTGCGAGCCTCGGAGGCGAACCCGCCTCCCACACCTGGCAACTGGCCGATGAGGGAAACAAAGTCAATACCACCCCCGCCGCTGCCGCCAAAGCCTCGCGAGCCACCGCCAGCGATTCCTTGGGTTGCTTGCTGCGCATTGATAAGCGCGTTGTTCATCTCGTCAACCTCGGACTGAGTAAAGTGATCATTGGCTTCTCCAAGAACAGAGTGCAGGAAGTCAACACCGCCGAAGGTACCGGTGACTAGCGGGGTGGTTCTCTTGCCGTTCAGGGTGATATCGGTCTGAGATCCGCAGTGAGCAAAGACCTCATGGTAGCCCAATTCGCGCAAAGCTAGTTCGCAGTAGTTGCTATGAGCTGGAAAGTCCTCCATGCAGTGGAGGGCCTGGCCGAGACACCGCAGGGCCTCGCACAGGTCCTTCTCGTCGCCCTTGCGGTTGGAGCCATTGGTGTACATCCTGCCGAAGTGGATGCTTCGCGCAAGACTGAATCGGAGATAGCCAGCACTCGTGGCCCAGTTGCCAGACTCATTGGCAATATAGTTCTTCATGCCAGTTCGCGGATCTATCTCGGTCTCTACGGGCAGCACGGGACCGCGCAAGCGCTTGTCGAACTCCCGCGCATCCTTGCCATCAGCGTAGCCGAGCGGGTTGTCGATATGCTCCTCGGGCCTGTAGACCCCCAGACGCTCCTCGGTGACCTCAAACTCTTCAGTGGCGTATCCGTTGGCCAGGAAAGAGAGGACCCAGACGAGAACACGAATGGTGGCGGCGTTCACTCCCTTCAAGCTGCCGACGTCCACAGCCTGGGAGTAGTCACGCAGCCAGTTGCCGAAGTACGTGCGCTGGACCAGCAGAGTTGTCCACTTCTTTCCGTGCAAAAAGGTAAGCGTCTTGAGCATATCCTCGATATCGCCATGGCGCCAGTTGACTCCCTCCACCTGCGCGATGGAGGGGATGTTGCCGGCGCCGAAAGCTGCCGCCCTGCCGGGCATCATCACCAACATGATGCCCAGAACGAGCAGGAAGCTGCCGAAGCCGAGTTTAGGCAGAGCCATGTTGAGTGGCCTTGTTCGCGAGCTTCTATGGTGGCTTTGTAGAATCGGAGTTTCTATTGTTCACTTCCTCGGGAAGATGTACGAAGACGAAGGTGCAGCAAGAGCTGGCGCAAACTGTGTTGGTGGCCGGAGTCAGTTTGTTTCAATAAGAGCTGCCTCAGCTCAGCTGTTTTTGGCGGGGTAAACCAGACCCGAGTAAGTGCTCTTGGTAGGGGAGGTAATAAGGTAGCTTTGGCCAACCGCGCCACGCAAATCAATCTGGAATTGAAATTCCAAGTACAGTTGGGTCGCAAGCTCAATTCTCTAACTAGCACCAGGTCTCAATCTTATCAGTGACGGCAGTTTAACTACCTTACCTTACAGTACCTTGTTCAGCTGAAAAAAGGGAGCAGCTGGCAGTGTTAGCCTTGGCCACCGTCCAAATAGGATTTGCTGGAGGGAGCCCATCATGACATAACATCACTGAACCCCTCCAAGCCCCTCCATTGACCCCTCCGCTAGCTCTCCAGTCGGTCGCCACAAGGTGCAAGGCAACCTGACAGTAACCTGGGCCCCCCTCAGCCACACAGCCCCACGCGTTATTGGGAAATTTTTCTTCACCACGAAAGCAAACAGTCCAATGCAAAGTCGCCCGACTGCTCCCTCTTACGCAAACCTTGGCTCATTATACGAGAGAATGGGGGAAGAGCAAAAAGAATGCAACTGGTCAGATCCAATTGCAAGATAGCGTGCATCTTTTGATAAGACATCAAAAAGAAAGGTCAATCTGGGATTCGAACCCAGGTTAGCGGAATGTCCAAGTATGAGTCAGAATCCGCTGTGATAACCAGCTACACTAATCGACCGTTGAGAGAAGAGAAAACCAAATGGGTGAGGTCAATCTGGGATTCGAACCCAGGTTAGCGGAAGTTCCAAGTATGAATCAGAATCCGCTGTGATAACCAGCTACACTAATCGACCGGATTTGGTTGGTTGGCGAGATCCGTTCTTATCTGGTACTAAGTAAAATGGAGAAAGTCTGGAACCTCGCAGAAGGTGGGTGCTGTGTGGTGGGTGGAGGAATCCATGTGGACAATTTTGATAGATACCATTAGGGCCGAGACGGTTGGCTGCTAAAAAAACGTACATCAATTTACTAGCTGCCTTGTCACGTTCCAAGCGGGCATTCAATGTTGTCCGGTAACCTCTCAGCTACAATCTTCACCATTTTCAAAACGATGGCGGAAGAGTAAAAGGGCAAAATGAACGAAAGTAGAATAGCCAACCTCCCCTCTCGCTAAACCTTCAGTCAATCGTCGCTTGACTGAATATGTTGAATAATTGCAAGTGGAAAGTGCGTTTTCCAACCAGTTCATGTGACAAGTTGAAATCCGCTAATAAATGGAAAACAGATCTCGAATAACTATATTTCTATTCGGGGTTGTGCCAATTGCAAGTGTAATGTATACAATTAAGTTAAAAATTGGTATCTTTATGTTTAGGCGCTTATTCAAAAAGTCTAGTTCGTGAGGCTATCCAGCCCCTTTGCCCAGCCGGGCATATAGCTAGGTATCATATAGTAGTACACAGTAATCCAGTTCGCACCTTGACCCAGCAACCCGCCATCCATCTATGTGTAGTGTTGCCCCTGGCCCCATTGCTCCAATGCAGCTTGGCTAGTATTTACATCCAAATTATTCTTTGCTAGCAGCTTGTGCAAGAATTCAATCATGAAACTGTCCGTTGCGGGGTTCTCATCCCATCTGACCTTGAGTTCGTCGTACACTTCGAGCACCTGCCCCCGTGATCTAGAGCATTTTGCGAAAGCTCGGAGCACCCACATCGCCAGCCATGTACTGACATAGAGGCCTTCGGCACCGCTATCAAAAGCGTCCAAGAAAGCATCCCACACTTTCTGCAATCTTGGCAGGGACCACTCAGAATACGATGCGCCCCCATGGATGGCGAATCCTTTGAAGAGGGCAAGGAATATAGAGCCGTGCAGAGGTACTCTGAAGAACTTCATCTCATCCAGATATCGGGCAACTTTACTCATCTGACCTCGTCGCACGCCGTAGTGGTTTAGGAGAATACGGTACGTGCTCAGATCGGGTGAGAGAAGTCCAGCACCTTGGAAATGAGCTCGCATCTCCGGATTAGCTTTTGTCATGCGTGCAAACATCATCAGAACCTTGGTGACCATCTTATTGAACGTGTAGTCTCGGTGAGGAATGAGCTTCGATCTCGGGTCCGCGGCCTTCATCCTCTCATAAATTCGGTCCGCCGATGCCTCATCACCTGACCGGAGGAGGCCAACGAGGACGCAATTGAGCACAACAGAATCTATGATCTCCCCAGCTTGAACCATCTCCCTGTAAGCTGCTCTGACACCACTGGCGTTCATCTTCAAACCAAAGAAGTGAATGAGGCTGACATGGTGATAGCGGTTGAAGGAGAAGCCGCGAGTGACCATCTCATGGTAGATCATTTCGGCCAGCGCAAACTTGCCTGCCTTAGCCGCTGCGTCAAAGAGGATATTGAAGGTCACCTCATTGCCCCCAATCCCGGCGTCGTGTTCCATCTCTTTCCAGAGTCGCAGGCTTGCCTCAGCCTCAACCTCAGTGGTGGTCCCTACGTAGCGACTAGCAAAAGATAGGGCAGTGTTCCACTCGGTCCTGGTCAATGTGAACCCTGAGTTCCGCACGTCTGCGATAATTGCGAAGTATCTTAGCATGGACTTCGAATTCTTCCGTTCTGTGATCCCAAGCACTGCAAGGAGAGCATGGCGTAGCCGAGCTGGCAGATATATCATTCGAGGTTCTGGTAGAGACCGGTATAGATGGTAGATGTTGTCGTTATCGACGCTTAGTGGCCGGAGTAACCTCTGGAAAACAGCGGCTCGCAACTGAGTTATGATCTCTTGCACGTCTTGCCCACCATTCTCTACCTCTTCAGGCGAGGGTGCAGAAACGTGGTGGGCTTTGTCCGAAATCTCCAACGTGGGGACGGGTGGAGGAGCATACCCACGCATGTAAGGATCCCGAAGGTACTCCAATTGGTCCTCTACGCTGATATCATCATATTGGTCAACAAAGGCAAGCAGCTCTTCAGGCGATCTCTTGGGCGCAGGCAGCGGAATCAGAGGAGGAGGTAGTTGTGGCGGCAATGTACTGATATGTTTCGAGCTGCGCGTGCACGGCGAATGTGAGGCGAAATAACCGGCGCCTACATGGGAGGTATTGATCTGGCGCCGAGGTTGCCGGATGACGGCCGTCGAGTAAGAACAAGCTGGGAACTTCGGCGCTGCTGAATTTTTATATGGCGCTCCAGGTCTCGGGATGCATGTATCCCACAGGGTAGTTGGCGCTGGTATAGAGGCATAGCGTCTAGTTGCATGGTCAACTCTTTGCGCTGTATCGTGGACAGCTTGCGCCACAGAACTATGGCAGGGTCGACTGGAGAGTATCGCGCCGCATATCGACCCGTCAATTCGACCGGAGACTTTCATGAGCTGTCCCGCATGATGGTCCCGTCATCACCAGTTGTTAAAGAAGTGACGGCATTCGAGACTGGCCTTGGAAGCTGTGGGAAGGGAGGGGGCTGCTTCGAATGTCAAGGGGCTTCGCGATCCTAACTTTTTTTTGGTAGGAAAACTTGAAGCTCCTTGTCCACAATCAAACCAACCAATAGATTAGATATCGAAAAACGCCAACGGTACGGTAGCTACTAGAGTAGTGCCGATGAATCTTTTGTGCTGCCGGGTGGCGGCGGCCCGGCTCCAACCTCAAAACACGAGAAATGCAGGTGCACACACACCTAGCATTATGAACTTGATTGTCGCTTCCAGGGATCGGCGGTTGGACCAGGGGCTATGGTACCGAGTTACCCACTAAAAAAGTTCGCCGGCCCGGATCATCAGCACCACCGAATGTACTGATTTTCCAGCTACATGGGCCGAGACTTGAGCTTCAGCAGCACGCGAGACTAGAACCACAGCATTAGTATCAGACGGTGCTCGATTCCTGCCTCACTACCGGCCATTGAGTCACTGTTGCGCGGACTGGGCGCTTCTCAGCCGAAACCGTTGCAGCCATGGCCCGCAAATCCGTTCAGCGACAAATCCGGCCCTCACGGATCTACCAAACGGTGACGGCGCTCCTGAACCACCGAATTCAGCCCCAGCTCCAGCTCGCGGAGCCAGCGTGGTACAAGGCTGTCGGGAGCATACCTCCTTCAGAAACCGTGACGCGACCGCTCCCCCCTCAACACAGAGCGCCTCCCGGCTCCAAGGTACGGAAAGCGAGTCGACTCTTCCAGCCCCAGCAGCTTGTATACGAGGAAGATGCCCTGAGGACACAATTCTACAAAGACCACCCTTGGGAGCTCGCCCGGCCGAGGATGATTATCGAGATGGACGGAAGGGATGCACAGCGGTGCGATTGGAGCAAGGGGCTGCGACAGCCTGGTGTCCCCTTAAGCGGAGAGAGGTGAGTTTTGGCCCCTCGAGTCAATTGAAAAATCGAATCTGCTTTCGGTGACGCCGAAGTTTTGTCCACCGCGAGGCTAATATCTCCAACAGCGTTGTTCAGCGGCAGCTTTGGCGCATGCATAACATACCCGGTATGAGTAAAGAGGAGGCGTACGATCTGACTCGCAAGGAGTTCTACCGCCTACGACAGGAAGAGGAGATCGAGAAGAGGGTAGCCAAGGAGGAGGCTCGCATGGTGGGTGCCTACTTTGGCCAGGGCTACCTACAAATCGGTATGCAGCTCGAAAACCTCGAGCATGAGAGATGGAAGAAATGGGCCGCCAAGGAGATCGATAACATCCGCATAGAGCAGGACGATTCATCGTCTTCTCCTGTGGAAGAGGCCACCGACCTAGAAACGAATCAAGAAGCAGCGCTGGACGAGCTAATGAGCGAGACCATCGAGGGTATGGCAAGATAAAAGTACGCACAATGGCACAGAAGGCGTAGTGTATTATACATGTATACAAAATAGAATCGTGTACAACGGCAAATCTAGGTTCCCTATCTTATCTGTGTAGATCTACTTTACCAGAACTCTAAATCATGGGTACAATCCGAATAATGCAAGGCACGTTCGTACAGAGGAGTTTAATTGATGAATTGAACTGCGCCCACAGCTAGACGTTTAATAGCTGCGGTTGTTGGGCCTACCTCGATAAATATGAATACATATGAACCTATAGGTCACACAATGATCTTAATGAACACTCAAGGATTTTATAAACAGTGCTTTATTGATGAGTTGTCCGAAGTTTAGAAAACTTGACAACATATTGAGGCCTAGTTGTCAGACTAGGAAGGAAAACAAGCAAGTTTATCATATCCCACCATGTAGTCTTGATTTTGTCAATACCATCGGTCCCCAAGCTTACTGCTGACTATGACTCAATGTGGGTATTTACCTCCCCAACCCCCTAAGAAAGACGAATTACCACGCAGGTGGCAATCTATTTTGGAGATAAACTCAAACGCATCCTGATCAAAGTGTACCGGCTATCGTCTCCCGATTCACAATATCGTTACCCTTACACTCTTAAAAGGATGGGAGAAAGGGGGGAAGAAGGGGGGCAAAGGCTTCTGGATGAGGTGTTTCACCCACGAATATTCATTTACGCACTCCGAAAATGCTTCACCGTCGTCATTGAACCATAGTTTGGTCCTGGCATGTTGTAACCATGCAGACACTTAGTCGGTGTGGCGAAACGCGGAGTGCTTACGAGAGCTCAGATTTTGCTCCAAATGAACTCCAGGGTACTTCTCAACCAAGGGTGGATGCTGGACAATGAAGACGTCGGCAATGTTGAGGTAGTAGAAAAACTGGCCGGTTCTGCTCAG